TTAAATAACTGAATTTCTTTCTATCATTTAAATATTTTCCTTGGGTATTATACTGAAGTACAGACCTACACCCAAAGTACCTACACTCATGTATAGACGCAGGTAGGGCATGAGAATTAGATATGGACAAGACCAGGACATGAAACCAGAGTACTCGGTGGAAATGTGGCCACTGGGAAGACAAGTACATTTCTTGAGACCAGAAACAAGTTCATTTGATTCTGAACAGCTGAGATAATGGCCAGAGGCTTCTCTTCCTTTGCTTCTTAAGGCCTGATTGAGTTGAAGGTTTTTGAGTGGGATCTGAACACTGGGCCAAAGAAGGTTGGTGAGTGGTTAAGAGTACTAAGAGATCAGAGGAGGGTTTCACAAACTGTTTGGCCTATAGAAAACCCTCTGCCTTGAGCATATCTCTTAATATCTCCCAGGAAGAGCAAGTTTCTTGGGCGTACAACCTATGGGGTCACACAAGGTCCATGTTCACTCAGGTTAATACTCTACTGTCACCATCTTGAAAATCTTAATAATTTTATTTTAAACTCGTGTTTTGCAAGTGAAGTTCCATGGGACAGTGGAGCATGCACATGGACAGAGAAGATATGCACAGTATTTGTGTCTACCACTGCTTGCCACCCCTTTCACAGACAGTGTTTGTGCTGCTCCATTAGCGCAGAATTCTGGTGGACCCATGATGCAGGCAAGATCAGCAAGACTGAAATGTGTACAAGGTAACATTTAAAACAGAGTAAGCTGAGTGTGCTGACAGCTCCAAGAGTCCATCCACACTTTCTGTCTGAACCAGAGTATGCTTTGAACAGAAAAGAAGGCAAGGGCATTCTAACAAATGTCAGCAATTAAGGAATCCTGTCATGTCATTTCTTACCCATATGACTTCCCTGTACTAGCCTTGCTCTTCAGGCCAGTATTCTGAGGAACACCATCTTAGAAAATACCAGAAAAAAGGAATGCACAGCAGGGAGCTGAAGCTTAAAAGATTCCTTAACCTCCTTCCTGGTCACTGGGCAAAGGGCATTGTCAGGGATCCGGGCAAAGGAAGCAGACCTGGGCTCTGCCCCTTAGCTGTGTGGCCTTGTGAAAGTTGCCTAACCTTTCTGAGCCTCAGTTTCCCCATCTGTGAAGTGGAATAGTAACTTGCATGGGTGTTGTGAGCCATCAACTTATGCAAAGTTGTCTACACGTAGGAAGCTTTCAGTATATGACAGCTATTATTACTTCTATAATTAAAGGTCTTTTTATTTCTAGGATGCATAGGGCTGACCTTATGTATGGCAGACTAGGTTTGCCTTTGTGGAAGGATTTGAAAACATACTGGCTTCCTCCTGATGCCTAAAATTTCATGAGCAATCCACTCCTGATTGTTCAAATTTTCCTTTCCACAAGGCTATCAGAAAAAGGTATAACATAATACAATTCCCCAGCATTTTGCTGTGGATGTAATGACAAACAGAAGCCATACCTGCAAGAGCAGTTGGACACCTGGAGATGGAGTGAAGGATGTTTCTGAAAGAGAAAAGTAAACCAGAATGAGAGAGTGAGGGAAAGAGACAAGAATCAGCAAAATAAATGTCACCTTCCTGGAAGATACAAGTTAGACATGTGATCATCAAACTTAGAAAGCTTGAATAAATCTAACCTCTTACAACCCATTGGTGTCAACTTCATATAAAAGAATGGGTTGATTAATGTCAAAGTAGCATTCATAATCTAAGATTTAAAAATTCAACAAACATTCATTATAGGCCTGCTCTCTGTATGACATAGCGCTGGGCACGTGGAGTGACACAAAGAGGAATAGGGAAAGATCTCTGCCCTCTAGGAGTTCACAATTTGGAGGAAAGAATTAGCTCAACATACCTGCTGTGTATGATGCAGGAAAGAACAAGTGCTATTGGAAGTATAGAGACTGTGAGATACAGAGGAAAGAGCAGCTGTCTTCGTATCTTGAGGGATGTGCACCTTTCTCTTGACCCTTCCTATTTCATCCAAATCTACACGAACTTTTTGTTTTGCCACATACAGATAATAAGAACTACGGGTTTTTTTGCACCTAACACTGTGTCAAACATTGTCATAAACATTCACCTATGTCATGCCAGTTAATTCATGTAAATACTGCCAGGATGAGAAAATAGGCTAATAGAAGCTAAAGACTTACCCAAAGAGACACAGCTAATGGGCATGAAAGTCAGGATTCAAACCCAGTTATTATGACTCCAAAGCCCATTCTCTTTTCATTTTACTTTCATAAGGGCTTACCTGAGGTTCCCCAAGGAGACCAGGTGGTTATATTCCTCCATACCTTTTTATCTGAAATGAATAAACCCTTTATCACCTTGATAGACTCTTAAAATTTCAAACCCACCTCAGCTATTAAACCATATTTTCCCCACCACTTCAGCCCCTCCAAAAAATTAATAACTCCCTATTCTATGCCACCAGGTGTCTCCTATATGTGCTACTATTACTGTATTTACCATATTGTAGAGGAATTTTATAGTTTTGTCATTACTTTTAGGCAGTGACCTCCTTGAGTGAAGGGCTATAACTTTCCTATTTTTGGATATTTATTATAGCACATAATAGGAACTCAGCAATTTTTTACTGAAACACACTGAATTAGATACTCAAAGAAATCAGTCTCAGCTAAGGTTGTATTGCAAGGTTCAGCACACAGGTTCTGTAATTGACAATACACTCAGAAGAATGGGCATGACTATGTTCTAATAAGACTGTATTTACAAAAACAGGTCGGCTTGCCAGACATGGCCCTCAGGGGTTTGCCAACCCCTCATGTATGGTAAGCCAATAAGCTGAGGCTAGGGGTGGGAATAGAGAAGCCCTTCCAAGCAGGAAAAAAACAGCACATGCAAATGCCAGTTGGCGGCGTATATTCAAAGAAAAACACGAACTAGCCGAGCTGGTTCATGGTGTATGTAGCAAGAGTATAATAATAGATAAAATGGGAAAAGTGGGGCAAGAGGATGGAGGACCTCAAATGCCAGAGTAAGGAGACTATTCTAATTCCAGTAGGTGTAGGAGTGTCATTTAAGTTTTTGAGCCGATGAATAACCTGACAGTTAATGCCCATCAGATACAGTGGAAGGACATAGATCTAGAGGTTTGTAATAACCTAATCTTAGAAATGACAACAGTAAAAATGGAAAGACCTGGGAAAACATGAGAGAAGCAGAGGCAAAATTGGCAGGACTTGGTGATTGGTTTTGCATGTTGTCATAGACAGAACAAAAGATGACACTGAGTTACTAGCCTGGTGCCTGCGAACATGGCAGACTCAGTAATAGAACCAGGAAAGGCAAGAGAAGGGGTTGGTTTCAGAAAAAAAGAAAAAGATGATAAATTTGTTTCAGACATGTTAAGTCTGATTTTAATACTTGTTTTGCCTGGTCAAAGCCCAAGTTGAAATACTGTGACTAATGAAAGCATTCCTTTCCAAAAGTGGATTAAAATATTTCTGCCATTTGGCAGGGGAAAGGCTTTTAAATTCTTTTCTAAAATATACCTTTCCATGATGTTTGGTTTCTGTTTAAATTTTATTTTAAGCCGCACTTGTCCCAACAATTGAAGAACACTTAGGAAGTTCCCTCTCCTTCCCTGGGTCTTTTAATTGTCCAGGTACATGCTATGTAATTCTAAACCAATCACTCGAGATTTCCACCTCCTCCATAAAATGGGAAAAATTAATTGTCAGAGCAGGATTTTGGCCCTTCCTTATGAACTGTGGTTACTAAGTAGAGTCAGTGTACAACCTAAAAATAAGAACACAAAATCCTAACTGTCCAGCTAGAGGGACAACCGAATTCCGATCATAAAGTGTGTCCTGAAGGAAAATTGATGTGGCACATAGAGATCGAGGTTAGAAATTTACAAGTTCTAAGTCAGGTTGCCAAATCTTAGTAAGAAAAACCTGAGAGGTGAGTCAGAGTGACTAAGTTGAATCACAAGATTGAAAGTCGCATAAAGAAAGTAGGTGAGGTTGAAGATGTAGATCAGCAGAAGGCAGAGTGGCTGGGTCCTAATTGCTTGTGATTGACCAGGAAGGGTATTCAAACCCAGAAATATGCTTAGAGTCCTTAATGTCAGGCAAGACAGGTAAACAACTCAACGCAATTGAAAACTACACTCAACTCCCTGCAGTATTAAAAATATTTTTTTAAAAAGCTCAGAACTAACAAGAAAACCATGCAAATAAAAATCATGCCACAATCTGAATAAAGTCTGTAGTTGAATTCATTGTATGGTACCAATGATAATTTCTTATTTCTGCCTAATGTGGTGTGGTATTGTAAGATGTTAACACTAGAGGAAGCTCAGTATATGGGAACTGTACTATGTTAGCAACTTTTCAAACTTGTCTAAAATTATTCCAAAATAAAAACCTTAAAATTTATGAATTTACTTCATTGAAATATTAGTTATTGCTTAAGATGACTTTTCCTCAAGAGAGAGTGAATTAACTCAATTGCCCAGAGCACATACATAGAAACGGATAGACTAGGTTGGCTCTGTTATTTACTAGCTGTGTGACTTGGAGCCAGTTTAACTTCTTTAAGCATCTATTTATTTCATTTACAAAATGAGTACACTAACAGTACTCTTGTAAAATTATCTGGAGTGCTTATACATTGCCTGCCACATGGATAGTACTAAACGAATGTAATAGTTATTAATAATAGAGTGTTGATTCATGTTTGTCATGTGTGTGTATGTGTGTGTGTGTGTGTGTGTGTGTGTGTGAACAGGCAAAGCTGAGATGTGGCACCTAGAATATTTATCACTGAATATTCTATGTAAAATATGAAACATTTGACTTGTGCTGTGCTTTGGATTCACAAACAGAAGTCTTGTTCCGACGTTCTCTCAGAAATAGGAATTTCAATTCAGCTACTCTTTTATATTAAAGTAAGCACCGTAACCAGATGGTCCCTGTTCTGGAGTTCCAGAATGACATTAAAAATGAGTGGGCAGAGGGATTTTATTAGTCATTTGTTGGCTTCGCAGCAGCCATTTCCATGAAATTATAGGACAATGATAAAATTAAAGCAGCTTATGCCGGGCTTTGGAAAGCTGGTCCCCATGTCTGCAAATAGTCAGAGGTCAGGAATGTAGAACAGGAGCAATAAATCGGAGAATTATTGCCTGATGATCCCAGGTCCCTTTGGTGGGGAAGCCAAGACCTCTGAGGAGCTTGGCCCAAGGAAAATAGGCCAAAGACAGGAAATACTGCCCTGCTGAAGAAGGCCTGCAACACCTCAGCTTTCTGGTTCGCATCATGCCTCCAGTGGAAGGGAGGTACTTCATAATGGGCTGTTGGAAACTTCCCAGGAACTGTATCTAAAAGACGAAGAGAAACTTGGAATCAAACCTGGGACCTTAAGTCAACCCATCCACATAGCGGCTCCTGTCTGCAAGTCCTCCTTGACCTGCCAGTCCCTTGGGTAGACTTCATTACCTTGTACTCTCCCTCCTCTGTCCCCTCTGTTCTCCTATACAGCTGCCTTCTCACTGCTTATACCCTCTCCCCACCAGCCTGTCCTCCAGTGCAAGATCTCAAAAGGTAATGTTGCAAAACAAATAAATATTGCAGCTTAAAGAATCAAAACCTGAGTTCTAGTCCTAACTCTACCACCTGCTGAGATGGGAAAGAGACTGAATATGTCCCACAGTCTCAGGTTTTTCACATTTATTAGCTTCCTTTTGCATTAAAAACAGCAATAATAAGTTCCTTACTTGGTCTAGAATATCTACATGGGGTTTTTCTGAGGTTTAAATGAAACATATTAAAAAATGTACCTACTAGACACTCGATAGACATTGATTTCCTTCCCCCTTCTGTCCCCTGGAACTGTTTCCTGAAGTTTCAGGAAAATATCCAGGGATTGGCAGTATAATTTCCACTGCCATTGGCCTGATTCTGGCCTTCCTGATAGAAAATGAAAAGCAAAATGTCTTAGAATTCCAAGAAACATTGTATGTCAATATTTAATTATACCATAGACTTCATATGCAGATGATGCCTTTTGAGATTTTTAAAAGCCAAGTGAATTTCAAACTTGGATTGCCTGCTCTCTCTAAGCACAGATTTCTGATAGCAACTGATTTTGATTGTTACACCAAGGATATGTAAGAAGTAATTAGTTAATTGGATGACCTTCTTTCTTAATACCCATATGATACTTGCTTGGATGAATTTGCGTACTCTCTCCACTTGTATTTCTGTTCTAAATCCATCGAGAAGAGAATAGTGAAAGCTTCTTACCCAGGTCTTGTATCTCCTTGAAAGCTTTTATGAATATTTCCAGTATATGCACCCACTTTTCCCAAAGAAGAAACAGAAGTGATCAGAATTTAATTCTCTAAAACATGATTCATTTCTTCAATAGGTCCTGAAATTCTTAATGATAATAGAGAAGCTCCTTTTGAGGTTCTTCTTTCTGTTCTTTCTTTCTTTTTTTTCCTAAGAATGAAAGGGAAAGGAAGACCATTTGCAAGTGACTGAAAGGTTGTATTAACTTTTAAAATTGCCTTCCCTTTAAAGTTTCAAGTTTGATACTTAATCACCTTTGATTCCGAAGCAGAAAAGGCCAGTCAGCTGCATCCACTCAAATAGCCCACGTGCTATGGATTCAGAGGAACCAGTCGGCTTTTGTAGGGTGATTTAAGCATGGTGCTTCCTATCTGTCTTCACGCTTCGAATTTATGAAATCAATGTTAATTGGGAAGGCTGGTAAAGAGTTGCAGCAAGTAAGAGTTAAATTCAATGTGTGGTAAATGGAGAATTGTTTCATGAGGAAAAGAAAGAATAGAAGGAAGCCATAAAAGCACAGTAGTGCTTTTAGAAGAGATGATTATGACTCTGGGGAGGCAGTGTAGTACAGTGGTCAGAGCACAAATGCCCTTGATTCTCAACCTGGAGCTACCCATGTCAGCTTGTGATTTTAAGGAGTTGCTTAACCTCTCTGTGCTTTAATTTTCTTATATATAGCAGAGACGATGTGATAATGATATCTGTCCATTAAGGTTGCTAAAAGAATTAAATGACTGGCCGGGCGCGGTGGCTCACTCCTGTAATCCTAGCTCTCTGGGAGGCTGAGGTGGGAGGATCACTCAAGGTCAGGAGTTCAAGACCAGCCTGAGCAAGAGCAAGACCCTGTCTCTACTAAAAATAGAAAGAAATTAATATTGGCCAACTAAAAATATATAGAAAAAATTAACCGGGCATGGTGGCACATGCCTATAGTCCCAGCTACTCGAGAGGCTGAGGCAGAAGGATCACTTGAGCCCAGGAGTTTGAGGTTCCTGTGAGCTAAGCTGATGCCATGGCACTCTAGCCTGGGCAATAGAGTGAGACTCTGTCTCAAATAAAGAAAAAAAGAATTAAATGACTTAGTGTCTATCACCTAGTAAGTACCATATACATCTTATTTAAACAAATAAAAATAATAATGGCATGGTGAATATATGACACCATGCATTTGTTAAAACCTGTGGAAATGTATAGCCCAAACAGTGAACCTTGACATACACAGATTTTAAGAAAATCATTTAGGAGGTTGGATGGAATGTAGAATATGAGAAAACAACCTAGCTGTATTACAATTGTATGAAACAACCTCACTGAAAGGGGTGGGAGGAAAGATGTTGAAATAAGTGACTTTGGAAATAAATGGAGTCTGTAAGACTAAGGGCAAAAGAAACTGTACATAAGCACTACTCTATTTGATAGAGTTAAGTATTGGTTAACAATTCCGACGCCCTATACGTGAACACAGGAATGAAACAATTAGGTGAATGGATGACAGGGGTTTGGAGCCACCTTTCTCCAAGTTGGGAGGTTACGGATCAACAGGGAAGGAGGCTAGAATGATCTATGTAGTAATGGATCAGAATTGGAGGTACCGGTATGAACTCGTGTTAAGGTTAATATAGATAATTACATATAGAAATATTCATACATATGTGCATATACATGGGCTGGTACAAACACATCTGTTTCCTTGTTCTATTATATCAGCTGAGAGGGCCTACAATCAACAACAACTCAGCAGGAATGAGCACACCCAGCATGAAGATCTTGGTCTCTAACGCCATTATCCAATACAAGGAACGAGGGTTTCTTGGAAATGGCTGGTTCAGGACTAGGACAAAAATGCACAAGCAGAACTCGAAGCATCTTCTCATGACAGAAAGTAGAGAAATGGTCAAAACAAGCAAACGAGCAAGCAAAACACCATTCCAACAAAACTCATTAATAGGAATATGTCAAAGGGACACAAGAGCCAACTAAAAGAGCTCCCAGTGGCCAAAGCTGGAACAATTTGAGCAATTAAAATAAAGTAGTATTGGGTTATTGCCCAAAATATAAAATAAATATCCATTTGTCCATAGTGATACAAATAAGAAAAATAAATGGGGGAAAGGGAGAAGGAGAAAGGGAATACACAAATCACCCATGTAGATGTCCAAATAATTTATGCAGCTACTCTGCCCCCAAAGATGTAGAGCATAACTCCCCACTCCTTAAGTGTGGGTGGTGCATAGATACTGACTTCTTTCCAAAGAGTACAGTTTGGAAAGGGGGAAAAAAGAGTAACTTTATAATGGAGACAACTGACAAATACCACCTTAGCAAGACGATCAAGGGTTAACATCAAGAATGATGTCATGTTGATAGCATGTACCCTTGATATGATATGAAAAAGGCACTTTACCTCTGTGGCCTTCCTCTCAAAATCCACAGTCCCAGCATAATCATAATCCACATCAAACACATCCTAGTTGAGGGACATTCTACAAAATGCCTGACTGGTACTCCTCAAAACTGTCAAGGTCATGAAAATCAAGGGAAGTCTGAGTAACTGTCACAACCCAGAGGAGCCCAAGTAAACATGATGACTACATGTAATCTTGGATGGGATCTTGGAACATAAAAAGGTCATTATATAAAAACTAAAAAAGTCCAAGTGAAGTATAGACTTTAGTTAATACTAATGTACCAATATTGGTTTCTTAACTGTAACAGCCCGGGCGTGGTGGCTCACACCTGTAATCCTAGCATTTAGGAAGGCCAAGGCTGGAGAATCATTTGAAGCCATGAATTAGAGACCAGCCTGAGCAAGAGTGAGACCCCATCTCTACAAAAAATAGAAAAATTATCTGGGCATGGTGGCACATGCCTGTAGTCCCAGCTACTCAGAAGGCTTAGACAGGAGGATCGCTTAAGCCCAGGAGTTTGAGGTTGCAGTGAACTATGATGATGCCACTGCACTGTAGCCCAGGTGATAGAGCAAGGCCTGTCTCAAAAAAACACAAAAAACAAAAAACAAAAAAACTAAAAATTAAAAAATGTAATGTACCACACCTATGTACCATACAAATTTAAGAAGATAATAGGATAAACTGAATATGGGGTAAGTAGTCTCCCTGTATTTGCAGTTTTGCTTTTTGTGGTTTCAATACTAATGCTCAACTGTGGTCCAAAAATATTACAGTATTTTGGAGAGAGAATGCACATTCACAATAGATTTCATTACATATATAATCATGAATTTCTTTTTAAATTTAATTTAAGTTATTTTTATTAATATCTTCTGTCCTAATTTAAAATTAAACTTTGTCATAGGTATATATGTATAGGAGAAAACATAGTATATTAGGGTTCAGTACTATCTGTGGTTTCAGGCATCCAATGGACACCCTGGAATGTATCCCCAGGGATAAGGGCAGACGACTGTATATGGTTACTCTGTACAATCTCCACAATTTTTCCCGTAAACCCTTAAACTGTTCTAAAATGCAAAGTTAACTTAAAATAATAATAAATGATAACATTTATTATACTCATAATATGATAGTGACTTCTCATACATTAACTTTATTACCCCAAATAACTGGTACCAGAAAAATGCCACTTATCATAAATCGTCAAAAACAGGGTCTTGAATTTTACAGTAAGTAGTAAAATAACGATTTTATTGGATGTTAATTTTGAAAAAGGAACTAAAATTATTAAAGTAATTTATTAAAATATAGATTTTGAAAAAGCATATGATAGATGTGCAGGAATTCCTAGAACTAACAAAAAACAGTCGACTCTGGATTTGGGGTGGTTTTTTTGTATAATTTTTGCAAGAAAAATATATGACGGGATGAGATAACATCTTTCCTTTATAGTATATATAGAGGATGTGTTTTTACAAAATATTTTATATCTTGCTCCATTTTCCCAATGTTTCTCTTAATTCTCTAATGTTCAAATCATTCTTTGAAAACAATGTCTCACTGAGTTATATGTCTCCTGCAGCACTTAAAATTAGTGCTCGTATTTAGTCAAGCTCAGTTTCTCCATTTTATAATTAGGGAAGAATAATAAAACCTGACATTACTACCTCACGGATTATTGTGAGAACTCACGTGTCATGAGTTAATTGGCACTTTTCTGGTCTTTCAGGAAAACACCATACCTCTGCTTCATAGCCACAGTAGGAGAGTAATTAGAACTTCAAGTTTTCCAATAGATCAGGTTTGTCAAATACATTTCAACCAGCATGGCAATATCAATCTACAGGCTGTGACCTCTGAGATGCAGTGTCAACACTGCATCTCAAGTTCTGAGACTAGACCTAGAACCAGTGGGACAGACTGCCATGATGGGTTAGAATGTCTGCCATGGCTTGGAATCAGGAACTGGTGATATGTGATCTACAGTCTCTAAGTATGCCATCAGCAATTCCTCAGCCCCTGTATGTACACGCTGCTCTTTGCAAGAAGAGGAAGGGTTGATTTCCTTTCCCTTTGAATCTGGGCTAGCCTCCTTATGACTTGCTTTGAAAAACCCAAATTGGCAGAAGTAATTTGGAATTTCTGAAGCTATGCTTTGGAAGGGATCAGCAGTTATTGTTTCCTTTCTTTTAGAAACCAGCTTCCATCAAAAAGTCTGACTAACCTAAGACTACCATGCATAAGGGAGCCCAAGATAGCCATGTGGACAGTCAGTGGAGGGAGGGGAACTATGCAGAAGATCAGTGAAATGCCAGTCATGTGAGTGAGCCTTATTGGGACCGTCAGGCCCAATCCAACTACCTGTTGAATGACTCATGTGTAGCTGAAGAGCCAGTCCAGC